TTAACCACTGAGCCATCTCTCCAGCCTGATATTCAATTTGTTAATTATATGTTCTGTAAGAAGTATTTAATTGGACCAGGCATGGTGGCACATGATTTTAATTCTAGCACTTGGGAGGCAGAGGCAGGCAGATCTCTGTGAGCTGGAGGCCAGTGTGTTCAAGGTAGTGTCAGGCTAGCCAGGGCTGCCTAGTGAGAACCCCACCTGTAATCCAGGACAGCCAAGGCTATACAGAGAAACCCTGTCTCAAAGAGAAAGAGCGAGAGAAAGAAAGCTCACTACTGTGTTGTAAGTGGAGAACATACAATAAAAGGCTCTGTTATTAAAAACCTCACCAGAACACATTTGTGAAGATGATGGGAGTGGAAAAGAAGTTTGTATTGCCAACATTGAATGAACCTAGTATTTTACTGCATGCAAGGCCCTGCTCAAAATACTTTAAATGAGTGAACTCTTTGAATCTTCAAGTCCTATGACATAGATCACACCTTTCACCATCATTTTACAGGTGAGGAAGTTGGTCTAGGGTATTTGGAAACATCCCTAATCTTGGTAAGTGGTCAGGCCATGGACTCGGTACATTAAGTACAATGTTATTACACCTCAAAAGAGGAAGAGCACACACACATCTGTGCTAGTTAGATTCAGCTGCCAACTTGACACAACGAGAGTCACCTCAGAAGAGGGAGCCTCAGCTGAACAACTTGTTGACCAGATTGGCCTACGGGAACATGGGGGGAGGCAGCCCACTTGTTATCACTGAGGCAGGGGCTCTGTACACGTGGGTTGCTCCATCTCACACAGGCCATGTGCTCTGTGAGAAAGCTGGCTAAGTCTGTGAGGGAGTGGGCCAGCACACAGGATTCTTCTGAGAACTTTTGCTCCACGCTCCTCTTTGGGTTTCTGCCTTGACTTTCCTTGATGATGAGCTGTGTCTGACCTGGAAGTACAAGTCAAATAATAATCCCTTCCGTCCTGAAGCTGCTGTTGACCTGGATGTTTCTTTTTCTTTTTTTGATCTGGGTGTTTCATCATACAGCAGAAAGCAAAATAGAACAACATTCATGATGAAACACACACATACATGATCAAACGTGCCCACATGCATGCGCGCACACATGCACAATACATGTGAAACAAACAAACAAACAAACCAACAAACAAACCAGCCACTCAGCTGGCTGGGCACAGTGATGCTAGAGCACCTGGGAGGCTAAGGCTGGAGGGTCACAAATTTAAGGGTGTCTAGGGAGTTCCTTGAGCGAGGGACAGTAAAATGACGAATGGAGTGAACGTGGTGGGTGGGGCAGTTCATGATTTCAATCCCCAGCTAGATTTACGGGGGCAATCTCACTGGTTCTAACTTGGTGATGTCCATAGCCTGGGAGCGTCCTGAAGAGCAGGCAGGGGAGAAACGTTTACTCGATGCATCTTTTTCAGACTTCCTTGGCAGGGAGGCCATTCTTTTTCTGGGGGGAACACTGTCACCAACCTCGCAGCATGTGCACTGCTGTGTAATTTGGGGAGTGTTACTTTAGGAACCTATTTTCCAGCTACCTTTAGACTGCCCTGGAGCCCTTCGCTGCTCTGAGAGCCACGGAGGATCTGATGAAGCCAGGTAGGGCCGTTGGCAACTGCCATAGATACGACTTGAAAGGTCTGTAGGATTCAAGAACAAGTGGCAGGCTTACTTGCTTACTTCACTAAACTTTCTCGATAGCCAGAGTTGAATTCTTGTCAACTCTGGGAAAGTATTAGACTAGCTAAACTGCTTATCTGTGGCTGGTTGAGGAGTATTTACACTAAAGCCAGAAGAGAAAGTACTGTTTTGTCCCTGGTCTTATCAGTATACTCTTGGTACCCAAGGAACATTATCTTCCTTAAATCATTTTATAGTGTTTTGTCCTTAATATAAAGATTATTTGATGACCAGCCTGGCTACTTGTAAATATAACCATGATCAATGCCTATTTATTGGGCTTTGTGCTTTCAGTAACTCAAAAATGATGTAACATACAGAAAGATGCACCATGTTCTAGCTCTCATGGATAGTATTTAATTTTGACCTTACAACCACCCCAGAAGGTAGATGTTGGCATCGTATAAAGCAGGAGGAGCAGAGGCTTAGAGAGATTATATTATCTTCATAGGCTTAAGCCTGCAAGTGTGAACGAAGCATCTGAATTTTAGTCTGTCTAATTTTATTTTATTTTTAAAATATTAGTTACAGTTTATTAACTTTGTATCCCAGCTGTAGCCTGCTCTCTCATTCCCTCCCAATCCTACCCTCCGTCTGTCTAATTTTAAACACCACAGTTTACCTCTATCGCATTACTTCCCTAAAAGGGAGAAATACTGAATATTAAACCAGCACCCACAATACTAGAATATTTCAGTTAATTGAATCAATGACACATCATTTTCTTTGATAATGAAAACAGTATAATTTTCAATCCATGTCAGCTTACACTTATTCCCTGTAACTTTCTCTCTGGCTTAGCTGGAAACAAAAATCTCTATTACGGACTGTTTTGTGGCTCAGAAGCTCCTTATTTAGTCATTACTCAGATATTTCACTGTCTCTGGCATTCCCCTGGAAGCAAGAATCTTCTCTATGAGCAGAGGTTAAGAGGTGTTATAGGGAGGATAAGAAGCAATAGCTGAGACTATGCTCCAGCATATGTGAGCGGTATGAACCTGTGCATCTCAGGAGATGCCAAGCTATGAATACTCCTGTGGATCTCATTAAACCCAGCACTCAGAGAGGCAGAGGCAGGCAGATTTCTGTGAGTTCAAGGCCACAATGATCTACAAAATTGTGAGTCCAGGACAGCAAAGGCTACACAGAGAAAGCCTGTCTTGAAAAACACCAAACCAAACCAAACCAAACCAAACCAAACCAAACCAAACCAAAC